CCGAGGCCGAGGAGGCCGGAAACAAAGCTTTGAAGCTCTTCGCTAACCTGACCAGCCTCCCGCAGATCGACACCAAGGCCCTGGAGGTGAGAGATGGACGCCGCCGTTTAACGTGAAACAGCAGAGGAAAAGTGTCGTAACTCACGTTTCTGTTTTCAGGAGGACGCCAATAAGATCAAGAAGGAGGCGGCAGACGTCGACAAGCTGATCGATAAGACGGAGAAGGAGTACAACGACCTCCGAGAAGACCTGAAGCCCAAAGAGCAGGAAGTGCGCAAACTGCTGGATAAAGGCAAAAGTGAACAGCAGGTGAGTTCAGGGCCTCTGGGAGCTTCTCAGGGAAACAAAACCCACAACACACAAAACTGTTTCCTCTTCCTGTGCAACAGACGGCCGATCAGCTGCTCGCTCGAGCCGACGCCGCCAAAGCTCTGGCTGAGGAGGCGGCGAAGAAGGGCCAGGCGACGTTCAAGGAGGCTCAGGACATCCTGGACAACCTCAGAGGTACCCGAGCGTTCGCCGTTCACCGGTTTCTGTCCGTGCTGCGTTATTGGTCCTTCAAAACAAGATAATTAATAAAAAAACCTGTAAAACTGTCCATCGAGGCTTTGAGTTGACTTTAACAACAAAAAAAACTCTTGAAGGTGCTAATAGTTGCTAATGTGCTAATAATGCGTCCCCTTTTCCATTTTCCTGAAACGCACCATTTCTGCTTCAGGCTCCGGGTGAGATGATAAAAACCTGCATGGAGATTTAAAATAAAGCAGTTTTCGTCACGTAACTCTGAACCTTTCTCTCTCTGACTTCCTGCAGATTTTGATAAGAGGGTCAACGACAACAAGACCGCCGCAGAGGAAGCCTTGAAGAAGATCCCCATCATCAACGCCACTATCATGGCCGCCAACGAGAAGACCAGGCAGGCGGAGGAGGCGCTGGGCAACGCTGCCGGCGATGCTCGAGAGGCAAAGAGCAAGGCGGAGGACGCCGAGAGGATAGCCAGTAATGTGCAGAAGGTAAAGCGGCGGCTCGTCATTGGCCTGCGTCAGCTCGCCGGTTTCTCTCCTCTCACTGTGATTAAACTCGTGTCCTCGCAGGGCTCCGCCAAGACCAAAGAGGAGGCGGAAAAAGCCTTCCAGGACACCACCAATCTCGACAACGAGGTCAACGACTTGATGGCGCAGCTGACCGACGCCGAGAAGGAGCTCGAGGAGAAGAAGGCCCAGGCCGACCAGGACATGATGATGGCGGGGATGGTACGACTCGCTCGTCGCTGAACTCTCAGACTCTCTCCAGACGTTATAAAAAGTTTAACATCCATGTTCCCGTCCTCAGGCTTCAAACAGTGCAAAGGACGCCGAGGATAACGCCCGCAAAGCGAAGAGTACAGTGAAGACGGTCCTGAAGGTCATCACGGACCTGATGAACCAGCTCGGTAAGAACACCGGTCGAGCTGCAGAACCTGAACGTCTGAGAATGACTCGTTTCTTCGGGAGAAACCATAACACTGTCTTTTTAATTAAAGACTGAACGATTGACGGGAAACTAACTGGTTTTGTTTCGTGTGCAGGAAACATCGATAAGATCGACCTGAGCAAACTGAATGAGATCGACGAGTCGCTGAAGAAGGCCAAGGGCGAGATGGACAAAAGCGACCTGGAGAACAAGCTTAAGGAGCTGAACAACGTGGCGCAGACTCAGGAGGCGATGATCGACGACTACGACCGGCAGATCCGCGAGATCCGCGCCGACATCGCCAACCTCAACGACATCAAGAACACATTACCCGAAGGCTGCTTTAACACGCAGTCCCTGGAGAATCCTTAACCCTAACCCCACCCTTCTCTTCCTCTAGCCCCGCCCCTTGCCCCACACTCACATCTAACACTCCGGCGAGCACGCCGCCTTTTACCAAAAACACTTTTTGTTTCAGATTTTTTTTTTTTTGACGAGACAGAAGCCGACGTGTGAAACCATGATCACATTTTCAGCCGCCAAGAAGCAGCTGATTTTTTTTTTTTCCCCGAGACGCAGGGGCGTGGTTACGCTCGAACGAACTAAACGGCGTCGAGAAGCCGTGCAGAGGAACCAGAACCACAAACCCGACGTGACTGCAGCCGTCTGCTCCACAGCAGGAAGTTCGAGCGACGCAGGAAGCTCTGCCTGCATTTCTGTGTCCCACCAGCCATTTCCCATCATGCCCAGCGGCGCTTTCACAGCGTCCGCTCACTGAACGCCACTGCCTCCTCTAACCGGCAAACACAGTGAAGGAACCCTCGCTTTTCCTCTGAAACTACGTGCCGATGCAAACAGCAGGAGACCTCCTCCTCCGACAGTATTTTCTCCTCCAAACAGGTTAAAGATACAAACTCGGCTCCGCGACGAACCGCAGAAATCCAAAAACATTTCAAAACGAAACTCGTTTCGAGACGACGCATCGCGATGATATCAAGATTTCTCGTCAAGCTTGCAAAAAATTTAAAATGTAAAACTTTGAGCCTGAAGATGTAAACCCGGGAGATTCTCTCGAGTTACGAAGTTAAAATTAAAGCGCCGTCATGACTGTGAGAGATGTGAGATTCAGGATGTCGTTAAAAAGATAAAACGCTGATTTCTTTCTCGCACTGAGATGAAATCTCGATGTTATTTCGATGCTCTTGACGATTTCCTGTCGCGAGACGATCTGGGAGAGCGCCGCGAGCATTGCTGCTCCTCGGTGTCGATAAGCTGTCGCAGGCGTTTGGCAGGAAGTCTTTTCAGTTTTGTGTTTTCGGGGCTTTTCATCTTCGGCGCGCTCTCCACGCTTCAACGCTCCCGTCTGGACTCTCACGCGTTAACGCTTCGCTCCAGGCTCGATCCAACACTATGCAACTTTGTACATTTTGCGTAGCGAGAGTTTTATCTGATACACTGGTGCTAATAATAATTATTTCAAATGTTCTATTTTTGTGTGAATGTTTTTTTATTATTCTGACACAGAGTGAGGAACTTTTGTCGTGTGTAAATATCTGATGATTCGGGCTGATTTTCTCCACCCTGCAAACAGCCTCCATCACAATCAATCAACAGGAACCTCCAGCATAAATATCTATAAATATCTATAAATATGAATATCTCATCACATGTGCCTAGTTATTATTATTATTATTACGCTTGCTTGTATACAAGGCTCCGTGTTGCTGCCTCATAGCGACACCATTACGTTTGTGTGTTTTTGATTCTCGTGTTTGTTTTCACCCTCTCACCAATCAGGTTGTTTTTGAGTGGGCGTGGCCTGCCTCACCAGTCATTTCACTGAATGGAGTTAAGTCACATGTGGCTAAAGTAGCTTTTAATTAGTGTTTTTGTGCCTTAATATTAAAGTTCCTGCGAGGGCGTCCATGCTTTCATTTTGTCCTCGTGTCGGTACTGAAGCAGGTTTTTCTTTTTGTTTTTTAAAAATCAGGTCCCAAAAAAACAAATCCAATGCCACTAGACTATTGTGCTTTTATTTTGAAACTCCCTCCCCTGACCAGTGCTGGGGAGGCTTTTGTCCGTTTTTATTTCCCTCCTCCATCCATTCGGCCGCTCTGCAGGTGGTGCAGCTCACGTGATGTATAAACAGTATTTTAAGTTATAATGAACCGCTTATTCGTTTTGCACCGCCCCCCACGTCGCCTCAGACGGCGATGTGCGAGCTGCGCGGCGTGCAGGGCGGCACGTCTGCAGCCCTGTGAGGACCTGAGTGCTTGTTCTTGTTTGTGCCCACGTACCTGTAAATCCAAACGTAACATTTGAATAATAAATAAATAAATTCCTACAGTTTGTCCGCGTGTGCTCCTGTTTTCTCAGCAGACTGTAACACAAAGATGGACGTAAACGCCACAGAGCCTTAGCGTTAGCGTTACAACAGCTGCCATGCTGGTTTCCTGGAGACATGTGACGGAGACACATGTGGAAGATCAGGTCCCAACACCACAAAGACGGTCCAGAGGTCGGGTTAGCTTAAGTGAAGCCCAGCAGACAGCTAGCGGCTCCACCCACCTCTGTCACCATCCACCTGCTGGTGAAAGAGGCCACGCCTCTAATAATGCAAACCTTAAGCCTTAATAAATGTAAACAGGTGAGCTGTAAGAACATCCTCCCCCTGCACAGGTGTTAACTGTAAATATTTTAACATGGAGCCCCCAGTGGACGTTAGAGGAACTGCAGGGCTAGCTTTTACTTTTGTTTTTATAAGACTGAAAATTGGAAAATTCGGGAAAACTCCGGGAACTAAAGAGGGAATAACTACATGCATGTTTCCATCCGTGGACTTTTCCTCCTAAACCGAATGTTTGACGTGTTTTCTGTTGCCAACTCTCGTCATCCAGACCAACCACACAAAAGTTAACCCCTGAGGTCATGAAACCAAACACAGAAGGCCGAGCAGGTGAACTCATCAAGCGACTCCTGAAAACATCTGGCCTGCTGCTGTGCGAAAGCTCCTGTATCAACTTTATTTAAACCTTTTTTGTGCATCAAAAGATTCCTGAATATAAAATATACAAAGTGATGTCTTATTTGTTGAAAAGGTCAGAGGTCACTGCATTCATTTTTTTATATTTCACACAAAATCCCAACATTTAAATAAAACAAAATATTAATATCAGTTCTGATCAGACTGACACCATATTTACTCTGGTTCCCTTTAAACACAAATCAAAGCAAATCACATGAAAATAAAGTTTTATTGGGTCTCAAACTTCTGCATCACCTTTAATAAAAAACTAAAATGAGAGGAAACGGACACGTGACCCGTGTGTCTGTGCTGTTTGTGACTCTTGTCTTTTGAGAAATGTTTAAAACGATCACTTAGGAAC